CAGCATTAATTCATATTTTGATTTATATTTCAGGGGCCAGGTACTCCTACTATTCAAGATATCTTTGAGAAAATCCGCGTTGCTGTCTTTAAAAACGGTATAAGAACAACAGAGTTTTTCCGTGATCACGACAAGCTGAGAAGTGGCATCATAACAGAAAACCAGGTAAACATTTTTCATCCTTTGACAACACTTACAGCAATAACTGTAAKAGTAGATGCGTACATGCAATATCGCATACATAGACAAATTGCTGTTCGTTTTTGATCCGCCTTTGCGCAAGATAGTAACATTTTTCTAGGTTTTGTGGAGAGAGAAAAAAACTTCGACATTATCCGATGGAAAACCTCAAAGGGAGAGAACTTATAAACTCTGCTTACATGTGACGCCGAGTCAAGGAATCGAACCGCTACGCCACATTTGATTGATGATGACTTAGCCAAGAAAATGAAGATACGCTTTTTTTTTTTTTTTTTTTTTTTTTTTTTCGGCCGTATGTTTTTGTAAAGTTGCAATTGCAGCACGTTCTAATATGCAGTATCTTTCTTAAACTTTGTAATGTGATTTCTTTCTGAATTTGAATGCATTACTTTACCCGATTTTCTTTGCAGTTCGTTTGTGGATTGAGTCTCTGCTGTGGTTCACAAGCTAATCTGAGCCGAAACGAGATYCAAAAAGTAATCGATCATTACAAAACTGATGATGGTCGCGTTCACTATCAAGGTTTCTGTGACATGATGGAAAAKGGTAAAGATATAAATTGTAACTYATGTTWTCCGTCATACRMATKATTTTTCATCCTTCTATAGGCTAATCAYAYGYATATGAATTGATTTATTTCAGCTTTTACCTTGCGCGACCTCGAGAAAATGCCAACAGCTGAGCCTTACAGGCCCCCAGTGGGTGCCCTCGCCAAGGTAACYCGCAAAATAAAAACCCTAGCAAACTCTCTATATATATATGCATTACATACAAGGACCGTAACCAAAGAAGGTTCTTGGGTTCACGTGCAGCTCCCCGCAAATCCTTTGAATGGTATATCAATTTCAAAGATGGCTATTTAGACATAAATTCTTTTCCTTGGATTCCTGTCCATAAATTCCACTAATTTCCATTTCCTGCGCACCCCCCCCCCCCCCCCCCCCCCCCCCCCTGCGAGACCCCTGGTTACGGCCCTGGGTACCGATGTACTATCGTGAATATTACCCTAGGGAGTGCACGTGGTCTGCGTGGGCAAAACATTACGCCCGTGCTCAAGAGATCTATTGTCTGACAAGATGTTTTATCATTTTTTTGCTTGACAATCACATTGGACCCTCCTTAAAACGGTCTTGAGCGTGAGACTAACTTGGAAATAAAAAAGAAATGTCACAAATTCCATCGAGAAAAATTGTGATTTCTTTTGTGTTTCCATGTTAGCCTCGCATCCACGATACTTTTGAGAAGGCTCCACATGACTATAGGCCTTGAAATTTTGTTTAGTTTTAACAAAAAATATTTTTTGTATCATAAAATTTTGAACTCTTACGAGAGTCTGTTAGAATAGATAATACGAAATCAGTTAAAAATGATAATGATATGTTCAAATAATTCCAGGCGCCTAACATATTGAGTCCAGAAGAAGAAGCCCGTGTTGAAGAAATTTTGACAGGACTGATTTCTAAAGTGCGTAAGAGAAGAATAATGGTCTATCCTTACTTCAAGGACTTTGATAGGGTAAGAATTCGTTATTCATTATTTAAATATATGCATTGATATCTCTGATAAAGCGGACCCCTTAGAGCAGTTTTCACATAACTGTGAAAAGCTMACGGCACGAACACGGTAGWKACACTGCAAGGCATACGCCAGACCAATCACATATCGCGAGAATTTACTCTCCATCCAATCAAAACACGGCACTGACACGGTCAGGCATGCAATTCGCGAGAAAAAAATCAGCCAATTAAAATCCTATAAAAACATCAYGGTCACGGTACGCTTACTGCACTGAGCTTTTCACAGCCATACGAAAACTGCTCTATATACCTTTCATTAAACGGACATCAAGTTGCACGCTTCCAATATTTTCTTCCCAATTTACTGTAAAACAAACCTCTACTCAGAGACTGACTCCTTTTGTAGTAAGCGAGACCAGCTAAGGTCCCAAAGCAGCCTTAATTGCTGTAAACTTACTTATAAGTTTAGTTTTTGGCATTTTGTATTGTCACTTTATAAGGCAAGTTTAAAAGTATTTGGACAATTACGAACAGACCGTTTACGAAAGAATGCATATGCCTAATTTGCATACACACTAGGTTTTTCTCTTGTAGATGTTGGGGTTAATATCGTTCTTGCTGTGCTGTTCTTGTTTTGACTGTGTTTATCGGTCCATTTTACTCATACGTTTCCTTGATATTAACAGAGTAAGGGATACACGAGAGGAGTAACCAAGTCGCAGTTTGCTAGAATGCTGCATTTCTTATCGTTGGATTTACAACCACTTGACCTCGAGGTGAGACTAAATTCTTTAGGTTTTTAAGGAAGCAGTCACCTTTGGTTCAGTTTTTTTTTTTTTTTTTGCATCAATAAAACCATAGCAACCCTTAGTTTAGTTTATCCAGCCCTCATGTCCAAACTACTCGGCTGTACTGGACAGACGGTCAGGGATCTAGTTAAAATGGTAATCAAATTACTTATATGCGCAAACCTGGTCGTCGGACGGAAAATCAACTGGATCTTGGATGGGCTGCAATTTTATTAGATACATTGCGTTTTTTTTCTTTTTTTCTTTTTTTGTTGGTGTATTTGTTGACTTTCTGAATGGGTTTCTTTACCAGTTGATCTGTAAGAAGTACGAGTATCCTGTCGGTGGAGATATCAACTACCCAGCATTCATCCAGGCTATTGACTCAGGTAACGCTATTACCTACAGATTGATCTACATTTATTTTTTTAGTATTATTATTATTATTATTATTATTATTATCATCATCATCAT